GAGACTGTGTGCCAAATCTTGATTTTAGAGACACTGTAATCTCCCAAGGTGCTAAATAATAACACAGTTTTTACGATTCAATAGCAGCATGCAAAATATGTTTAAAATATGTGCAACATTGTATTTACATAATTGCCTTTATCCTGCTAAAACCAGATGAATTTATTCATGCCTAGACATTTTGCGATGAAACATTCTTGCGGACTCTATTTGTAGAATATGACCTTCCAGTTCGTTGGAGTTAGATATCGCTGCTATAAAAATGTCTGTCATTTCAATGCTGGTGGCTTCTAAGAACACCTTGGCATTAGGAAGATCTGAATTAGTTGACAATGAACTATTGAACAATGAACTATGATTCAACAGTACAATTCACCATTGTTGGCGCAGAACAATGATTAGGCAGTCTTGGAGCTTATACACTGATATCTGAGTATAAGTATATTTATTTATTTATTTAAAGTGTTTATATGCTGTCCCCACTTCTACACAGCCTCAGGACGGCTCACAACAACAAATAAATAAAACAAATAGAATTGCAATTACAATTAAAACTTGGAAACACACTGGCTGCATAATTAAAACTATAAATATTAAAGATTATTAAAATACTGTTTGAATAAAAAGGTCTTGGCCTGGCACCAAAAAACAAATAACGACGGCGCCAGGTGGACCTCTCTGGGGAGCGCATTCCACAGATGTGGCACCACTGCAGAGAAAGCCCTCCTCCGGGTACTTTGCTTCCTGATATCTCTTATGGAAGGCTCCCAGAGGACAGCCCCTGCTGCTGATCTCAAGGGGTGGGAGGGCAAATATGGCTGCAGGCGTTCCTTCAGGTATCCGGGTCCCAAGCCATTAAGGGCTTTATAAGTAATTACCAACACCTTGAATTGAGCTCGGACTTCGATGGGAAGCCAGTGAAGCTGGTAGAGGACTGGGGTTATATGAGAATAACGCCCAGTCCTCGTCAGCAACCTGGCTGCTCTATTTTGCACCATCTGAAGTATCCGGACTGTCTTCAAGGGCAGCCCCATGTAGAGCATGTTACAGAAATCCAACCGGGAAGTAACCAATGCATGCATCACTGTTGCTAGGCAGTCGTCCTCCAGGTAGGGATGCAGCTGACGGATCAGCCGAAGCTGATGGAAAGTGCTCCTCACCACCGCCAACACTTGAGCTTCCAAAGTCAGCTCCGGGTCGAAGAGCACTCCCAAGCTGCAGACCCTGTCCTTTAGAGGGAGTGCAACCCCATTCAGGACAAGATCCAAGTCACCTACCCAGGAGTTTGAACCACCTACCAGCAGGACCTCTGTCTTGTCTGGATTGAGCTTCAGTTTATTGGCCCTCATCCAGCCCATTACCTCGGCTAGGCACCCGCAGTACAGCTACTGCCTCACCTGGATTGGTTGAAAAGAAGAGGTAGAGCTGGGTATCATCAGCGTACTGATGATTCCACAGCCCACACCTCCAGATGACCTCTCCCAGCAGTTTCATGTAGATGTTGAACAGCAAGGGGGACAGAATAGACCCCTGTGGAACTCCATGGCATAACTGCCATGGTGCAGAGGTAAAGTCCCTCAGCACCACCTTCTGGAATCGGCCGTCGAGGTAGGAGCAGAACCACTGCCAAGCAGTGCCTTCTACTCCCAGCCTCCTTAGCCTATTCAGAAGGATACCATGATCAATGGTATCGAAAGCCGCTGAGATGTCCAGGAGAACCAACAGAGATGCACTCCCCATCTCTCTTCCTGCACAGGTCATCATACAGGGCAACCAAGGCAGATTCAGTACCATACCCAGGTCTGAAGTCGGACTGAAATGGGTCCAGATAATCAGTCTCATCCAAGAGAGCTTGGAGTTGTCCCGCCACCACCCACTTCAGCACCTTGCCCAAAAATGGGATGTTGGCCACCGGTCTATAATTGGCGGCCATCTCTGGATCCAGGGACGCCTTCTTTAGGACTGGCCCAACCACCGTCTCCTTTAGAGGGGCAGGCACCCAGCCGTCCTTCAAAGAGGCGTTGATGACCTCCCGGATCCAGGAACCAATCCCGTGTTTGGCTTTGGATAGTAGCCACAATGGGCAGGGGTCCAATACACAGGTGGTGGTACTTATTTGTCCAAGCACCTTGTCCACGTCATCAGGCCGCAATAACTGAAACTCATCCAACAATGTGTGACCAGACGGTAACATTGGCACCTCCCCTAAGGAATCTGAGTCACTAGCAGAGTCCAGCTCGTGACGAATCTGAGCGACTTTCTCCATCATTCTTTAATGATGACTGAATCTCTCCATATAAAATGGATTATTTTGTATTTGTCTTAGTGCTTCAAAAGCCTGCTGGTTGTTTTCTAAGACTTTTCATAGCAATACACAGCAAGAACAAAACTGGAGAAATAAGAAATATACAGATAAGAAAAGTATACCAACCATATATGAGAATGCTAATAACATATAAATGATATTGTGACATGTCTGGGTGGGAAACAGAGTAGATCTATTGAAATGAATGAGAGTTAAGTTATGACTCATTCAAGTCCTACTGATTGAGTCTGTCTGAAGTATGAATAAGTCTGAATCAAAACCAATTTTTGCTTTTTACATTTATTGACCTAGCATGTTTTCAGAGTGAACTTCTTGTGCCTTCAGTTTGTTCTTGTGTCTCATTTTACCCATTTTTCCCTTTTGTGTAACTTGTAAATATGAGCATAGCATGAGAGCAACCAGATTTGCAGAACACTTCAGTTTTAAAAGAATATATTTCCTGAACAGTCATTCCTGTCCTCTCACTTGTAAGATGGGATAGCATTTTCACCTAATATAGTTTTATCCAAGAGATATCAAGACTGTGTGTATTCTCACAGATGTTGATACTGAGAACATCATTATGTTAAGAAATACAGCTTTCATTTAAGCAAAACAAAACAACCTATTGTTTAGAATCAATCTGAAAGAATGTAGACAATATTTGGGTGAAACCACAGTGATGCTCACTCAGAATGTTTTCCAGTGGTCATGGGGAGTTTCAGAACTTTGTACATCAACAGCAGAACTGAAAAAGGATGCACAATAATCATATTCACATTTACTTAATTTTCATTATTTAAGCACATTGCACAATTTAGTTTTGTTTTGTTCTTGCTGCTGCAAAGTGTCACTAGGGAAAACAGAACAAGTTGAGGGGAAGAAAGTATAATCAGAAAGGATTTTTTATTTGCAACATAACACAAGAAACAGAAAACAAATAACCAAAGAAAAGCAAGTTGACGCATAGATTAATTAGAAGCCACAGCATCCAAATCAGAATCCAGAAATTAATATTGAACACTTGAAAAAATGAATTTTCACAATGACTTGGTTCAGGTGACACCTTGTGGCCAACAATAAGCTATAATGCCAGTGGGAGTCATACTGCATGTCCAACCCCTTCTTAGAGGTTGCCCTGTAGTGCAAGCCTCATGTTGTGTGAAATTATTATTATTATTATTATTATTATTATTATTATTAT